GCACCGGCTGGAAAAAAATACACTGCGCTGATGTAGTAGACTAAGACGTCCATATTTGACCAATAGGCGCGTTTTTTTAAAAGGGGGTAATGGGCGACTAAAGAGCCTCGGAGTCTGAGTGAAATAGCCCCATCCCTCCTCCCCCTCCCCCCTCGTTGGCTCCAGCTCTTAGGAGGCCGCACGGTAGGTAGGCAACTTGAAATAAAAAACTCATGAAACTAGTCGACCCCATAAAGTACATCGCCCGCTCCGTTAGTTGGACTTAAAATCGCGCCCGCTGGCCAGGCCAATGCTGCCAGTGAGAAATGCAAAATCGATAAATGAAATGGTCGATAGTCATCGATTGAGGCAAATTCGGATCGAAATCGATTCGTCCCGCAAATCGATGAATCATCGGTTCGAAACTCCATCTCTCACTGGGCTGTTTACCTCACGCTCTTGACTGCGGAGGATGTCCCGTTGGGGTCCTGGCGGGGTCGAAGATCACGTGGGCTTCCGTGTCCCACCTGGTCTTCCCTCGCGCGGAGGGGACGCAGGACGCTCCCCTCGGACCTTGGCCGTGCCAGACGACAAGGAAGACGTCGAGTGGAGTCGACGAGTCTCGCGTCGCGGGGGCTGCCGGCCGGATGACGGCGAGGAAGGAGAAGGAGGATGTCTTCCCGGGGAGCGACGGGATGGGATGGGTCCCGGGACGCTCCACTCAATCTACCCTCCCCCACTCTCCACCCCCTCCATCTTATTCCGTCTTCTCTTCTCCGTCTTCGACGAGACGTCGCTCGCCAATCAGTTAATCAGGGGTCCACTTGGAGGCGGGCATCACGGCCCTCTCAGCGCGGCGGCCGGGGGGAGCCCTGCACGCTGCGGCAGCAACGCATCCGGCCGTGCGTGAGTGGGCTTTATGCCCGTGATGTCCGAGCCCATGCACGCGCCGTGCCCAGCACACTGGACCCGGCACGGGTGCACTGCCGTCGCTTCAGTGATGCGATGGATGCTATTCTCGCCCGAATGAAACGTCTTTGTATTTTTTTTGTGTTCTGGCAGTTTGTCCTCTGGTTTATCTTCTTAGTTCAATGTTCGGCGATCGCCAGCAGCTTCGGCACCTCCACACCCCCGTACGTACCAGCACGGCCGTACTGCACAGTGCTGGGAAGATGAGGCGGAGGGCTGCAGGTGAGTGGGGGCGTGGCCTGCGAGCCTTGGCGCCTGACAGGTAGGCGGCCCGCCCGCACTCCTGCCCGCCGTGTAGCATACCTCCCCGGGGCCTCCAGCAAACTGATTCATAAGAACCCTCAAGGGGCGCTGCCCTATGAGTGCGACAAGGACGGATCTATACGAAAGGTATAGGAGAGGGTTCTTCGGAATCATTCAGCAGGCGAGCCCCCAAGCTTCTCCAGCGGGCACAGCAGAGCCGAACGCCAATCTGTCAGCGCTGCCCGGCGCTGCCGCATCCGCTCGCTCTAGGGGTCTCTAACACCTTGCAGACGTCCCAGTAATTCGTAATCATCAGCGACATCCCTAGAATCTGGCTTTGCACGTTTTCGCGCACGCGGGTGTTTGGAGTCTTGCTCCTTTAACAGTTGCGTGGGCGAGGTAGCAGCAGGAGGTAGCCGAAAACAAGAAGGAAATGATTCGGAAGCAGCAGAGAACGCGTGTGTGGAGTGAGAGAGAGAGAGGAAAAGAAGGATTAGGGAAAGGGGTGGCGTAGAGGGAGGGGGGGAGAAGGGAGGGAAAGAGAGAGAAAGAGGGGGAGGGGGGAGCCCGGCCCTAGCGTGCCCGTACCATCCTGGGTCGTATCGGGTCGCTGCGCTCGCGCTCACGCCGCCCGCCGCGCCGCCCGGCTTGTGTGCGCGTCGCTGCTGTTGTTGCGGGACGCACCGGGACGCACCGCGACGCACCGCGGAGGGACGGGACGCGTACGGGCGGAACTGGGCGCTGGGCGTCGCACAGGTCGACCGCGCCCGAGTGTGTGCATGTGCTTTTGCGTGTGTGTGTGTGTGTCCGCTGCCTTCTGTCATGCCCAAAGACGCCGCCGTCCCCCCCATACGGCGGCGCGAGCACCGCGCGGCCCGCACGCTGGAGGCCCGCGTCCTGCTGACGGCGTCGCGATCCTCTTGACGGAGGCCTGACGGGCGACTCTACGGGCGACCCGCCGCGCCACCGGCCTTGCCGCCGGGCCGGGGATCCCAACTCAGTCCAAGACCATCTTCGGGGAGGCGCACAACCGAGGATGACGACAAGGTGAGTTGTCGGTTCTGGAACGCCGCTCTCGGGATAAAGATAACTGGGGTGAATCTAGTACAGCAATAAAATTCTGTGCGATTTTTAAACAAACATTAATATCAGTGCAAGATTTTCCTCAACATATTCTATTTCAAATTCGCGCGGGGCTTAAGAGCTTTGAACTGATTGTTTACACGATTCTTTATTTCGCTGGCCCTTTGACTCCGTGGTGCGTGTTTGTATTGTGCGGCGGCGCCGGGGGTGTGTCACGGGGGGAGCGGAGCGGGGGCGGCCCGCGACCGGCGTGCTTCACAGAATGGATTGTTAAATCGATGCCCGGGCGGGCCGGTCTCCCCGCCGTGCAGCGCCTCGGCGCCGGGGCGTCAAGCGTCGCGTCACCGCCGCCGGCCGCGTTTCCCGCGCTGTCACTGGCGAGGCTCGGCGGCAGGGGAGGTGCGCTGGCTTTGCGCTGGCTGCACCGCCAGCAGCAGCGGGGGGAGGCTCACGATCACGATGATGAACGCGATGGTAGCGGCCCCGCCGAGTTATTGACCTTCCGGCCCTCAATGCAGAACGCACGCATGTGCGCGCGTGGCGGTCCCCTCCGGTCCCCTCGCCGCCGAGTCCACGAACGGGACGGAATCAAGCCTCGCTGACCACCACCGGAGGCGGGGGGGACAGAACCCGGGCCCACTGCATCGCATGGTCGGTGCGCAATGGATGCACCTCAGCGAATGAATGTATCGCCAAACAAATTTTTCTCTTTCTTTTTGCGACCATTAACATAAACATTGACTGGCTT